AGCTCCGGGATAACACACTGCTCTGCTAGGTTGAGCCACATAAGAAGGTTCTGGTTTTGTGTCTGAAGACATCCTTTAAAACATTGGGTACATGTTCATGATGTGGGGCTGGCTGAGGCTGGATCACAGTGTCAAGATCCTACTCGGTGTCTCTCTTGCTTATGAAATAAATATATAAACTTTTTAAAAAGTTATTTTTATCGGCAATGCTTTATCCTTAACAGAAAATGAACAGACACTTGGAATGATGCATATCTTCTATCAGCAGTAAGTCTAAATCAAAGACTAAAGCAAATGTAGTACATTTTGTTTTCCTTTTTTTGTCGTAGGGCACATGGGCTCAGGGAGGGGTGTGGAGGGAGAGCGAGAGAGAGAGTGAGAGGGAAAGACTCTAGAATTGGTCCTGTTGGGTGGAGAAGTCACCCCTCAGGGGGCTTGACCATGCAATCCCTTCTCCTTTCTCCTCCTAGGATCTTTGGGCACTCATATACATGTGCCCCGTGTGATTTTCAAGCCAACAGGTCCAGGACTTGAACCACAGTCAGCCATGTTGGAGTCCAACGACGTAACCGCTACACCATTTGCTGGTCCTGCTACATTTTCATAAATAAGTTACCCTCTGTTACTGCTCTGAAAAGTGCTAGAATGAATTGGATGAATAAGCTCCTTGTAAATCCACCTAAACCCAGTCATCATAAGGATCATGTAGACGAGAAGACTGTTGAAATGTTTGTGAGTTCCACAGGTCCTTGGATTCCTCTGACTACTGTGCCCTTGCTCTTCTCAGACTTTGATGTGTGTGATGGCCTGTCCTTTTCTTTCACAGCACGTGCTGTGGATGTAGCTGTATACTACTGCTCTTCGGGCCATACTCTCAACGGGAAGCTCTACGTGGGCCAAAGCCGTTTCATAGTATTGAGCAAGGTGTTTGGCACATAGTAGGAGCTTGATAAATGTTTATTATATGAATCAAAATGAAAGGAAAGAAGGCAGAAAGGAAGGGAATCCAAGAGAAAACAAAACAAAACAAAACTTTTTATTATTCCCTAAAGCCATTATCAAGATTCAAATTTTCTTCACGAGATGGGTCTTTAAGTTTCATATACAAGAATTTTAAAAATTAATTTTACTTTTAATTTTGTCTGCTTTAGATCTCTGACTGGATAAACTGCAGGTTAACAAGATGCACTAGTCTGACAAGCTTTGATAATAAACCCTACCCTCCTGTGAGATGCAGGATTATCTCACAGCTGTAGTCTATCTTCGGTTCTTTCTAGTGCAGATGTAGAAAACAGCCAGTGACCTGCAGAGATGTCAGTAGCCTACTGAGGGAGTTATTGAAACATGAAGACCCCACATTCAGGTGGTGGATTCTGGCATTGCTGTAGAATCATGGATTCTGAGAAAAGTGAAGCTGCTGACATGGAAAAAATAGCCCACTGCAGTCTAGGTTTAAAAGCTGTGCATATCTTAAAGCCTTGCTGTAGAAAGTGTGGTCCAGGACCAGCAGCAGCAGCTTCACCTGACAGCTTGTGAGAAAGGTGGAATCTCTGGGCCCACTGTGGATCTTGAAATGCAACAGAACCTGCATTTCAATAAGACTGCCTCTGGGGCCCCAGGTGGCATGGTGGTTAAGGCTCTGGACATTCCCACATGACCAACCACAGTTTGAGTCCCAGATCTAGTGGTTTTCTTTCTCACTATCCCTCTCTCTCTCTGTGTGACTCTCTGGTCAAACTAAAATAACTAAATGAATAAATAAAATTAAGTAAGTCATTCTTTAAAAAATAATAAAAAAATGACTCCCTCCTCCAGGTGATTCATTTGAACTAAAGTCTCAAGAACACTGCATTATAAAAAGAATATCATGAACAGGCTAAAAATGTAAAGCTGCTGACATGGAAAAAATAGCCCACTGCAGTCTAGGTTTAAAAGCTGTGCATATCTTAAAGCCTTGCTGTAGAAAGTGTGGTCCAGGACCAGCAGCAGCAGCTTCACCTGACAGCTTGTGAGAAAGGTGGAATCTCTGGGCCCACTGTGGATCTTGAAATGCAACAGAACCTGCATTTCAATAAGACTGCCTCTGGGGCCCCAGGTGGCATGGTGGTTAAGGCTCTGGACATTCCCACATGACCAACCACAGTTTGAGTCCCAGATCTAGTGGTTTTCTTTCTCACTATCCCTCTCTCTCTCTGTGTGACTCTCTGGTCAAACTAAAATAACTAAATGAATAAATAAAATTAAGTAAGTCATTCTTTAAAAAATAATAAAAAAATGACTCCCTCCTCCAGGTGATTCATTTGAACTAAAGTCTCAAGAACACTGCATTATAAAAAGAATATCATGAACAGGCTAAAAATGTAAGACACCATAACAAACTATTGTTACTACTTATGACAAAGGGTTGATATCCTAGATATGTAAATAGTTCGTGTAAATCAGTAAGAGAAATGTAAGTACCCTAGCAGAAAAATGAACTGACAATTAACAACACAAAGAAAATAAACTTGAAAATACGCCTTTCAGAAAAGGTCAGAAAATTCAAATTCAAATAACAAAATATCATTTTAAAGAACAACCAAGTTGGCAAAGATCAAAATGATTAAATTACTGATTCTTGTAGAAAAGAATTCAGGGAAATAGGCACGCTCCTGTTCTGCTGGAGAACATATACACTGGTACAAGCTCCAGAGGTAAAATTTGACATTAAGAATCCCATGTGTTTAAAAAAATGTGTAAATTATTTAATCCAGAAGTTCAAGTTATATAGGATGTTTTTAAGAAATAAATTGAAGGCCAGCCAGGGAACATAGTAGTTAAGGAGGCTGAATCTCACTTGGTCCCCTGGCAGTCCCAGTCTCAGATCTGGTTGACTGAAAAACACACCAGGCATGTGTGCATGTGTCCAAAATCCTGAGAGATCCTGAGAGGAGAATGGAGGAGATGGGACTGCCGCATGGCCATCCCCCCAAGGGTGATTCCTCTCTCTCTCTCTCTCTCTCTCTCTCTCTCTGTCTCTCTCTTTCTCTCGCTCTCTCTCTCTCTCTCGCTCTCTCTCTCTGTCTCCAGCAAGCCCATGTGCCCCATAGTAAAAATTGAATTAAAAAAAAGGAAGTAAATTGAGACATAAGTACAAAGAGAGTTATTCATAATGTTATAATTTGGAAATAGCTGAAGTGTTCAACAACCAGTTAATTAATTATACTGTACCAGAAGATGAGACTATTATTCAGTCATTAAAATCTATGTTGTAGACCAGTATCTAATGAACATTGGAGAAATGCCATTGCATGTACACATCCAGATGTGTAGAAAGACCAGAAAGACAGACAGCTAAATATTAAGTGTAATATCTACACTGTGGGAATATGGATAGCTTCTCTGTATGATTCTGCATGTTCTAAATTTTCTGCAATGGCAGCTATATTACTTTTTAATTAGAAAATAAAATGGTTATGAGCAGTAGTAGTGTGCTAGAGTCACAGTTTACACTAACTCACAAAAGCTAGGGTTAAAATTTCAGGACACTAAACAGTCATTAAAAAATAAATGACATAAATTTACAATTAAATAGATTATACTAAAGGTAATAAATACTTAAAACCTCTCAGTTCCTAATCCTTTTACTAGAGTTTACTGTTACTATGACCTTGCAGTTACGTGTATTGTATCTGTATGGTGGAAATGCTTCACAGTGGTGCCTGTGCTACAGCTCAGCTCTTCCCAACTTTGTGTCCAGTGACTTTACATTGGAGGCTTGACATAAGCCTTAGTGGGGATGTTTACACCAAGGAGATGGGAAAATGCTACAAAGCAGGACTTTTTCGTCCCCTCCCCCTCTGAGAGTTTCTTGTTACATTTATCAGCACATCACAGACTGAAGGTAACTTGTTTCTTCTGAAAGTTTATGATATGGCCCTTGATGAGAAAAAGGGGAAAGGGAGGTTTTGCCATCATAAGCAAACTGGGAGGGAATGGAGGATAATTAAATTAGTTGGATTCTTTCAGGGTTGTTTCAGTATCAAAAAGTTAAACATATTTAGTCCTCACACTAGTTATTGAAATATTCTAATTTAAGCTCAGTATAGTTTAGCATCTGTTTATCTTCCTTTTTACAGCCTTGATTTTAGTCTCTGTAGCACAGCTGAGCTCTCTGCTACATCTCAGTCTATAAAATTGGAAAACAGTAATGGCCCTGTTTCACTTTCAGGGTTTTGAGTGAATCAAACTATTAAAGTTAATGAATTCAAGAATACTTTCAGAACCATGAAATATAAGATATGCCTATGATATTTATCATATTACAAGAACTATGAATTCCTTATGAGGTAAAATTAGAAGAAAATATGTTCATATTTATAACACATTACTATTGTTTTAGTTTAAAATACTTTAGCCACAAGAATGGTTATTTTAATTTCAAATAATTTACCTCCAAATACTATTTGAATAAATACGCTCACAATCCCTGACATCCAAATTTTCTCCCACTCTTTTTAAAAAAAATATTTATTTAAATTTATTTGTTATTATTTTTTATTTTATTATTTTTTTATTTAATTTTCTTTTATACATTCAATCATGCTATTTAGCTTACAAAGTGAATATTTCAACATGTGAACATTTCTCCCTAGTCCTGTTGATAAAACTATGAAATATCTTCAATAGATAATACCACATTTTTTTGTCTCACAATGCTTTGCCTCTCTATTTTTCTTCTAAATGTCCGTCCTCAGACACTACTCTTTCACACACACTATATCTGGTATTCACATCCATTTATTGTGTTAATTTGATGAGAGAAGGAGAGAGAGAGAGAAAGTGAGTGAGCAAGCCCGCAGGTCTGAGACACAAACCATGCTTGACCATGTGGGAGCCTAGAACCACGCCACCTGTTGGCTCCCCCGACTGTTTAATAGATCCTGATGTCATCAGTGTACCAGATGATTTTTCTGGAGGTAGTAATTGGTAAATAAAAAGTACATATGTATTTCAGGTACCTGATGTGATGGAAGAATCTGCAAAAGATGAATTATTTTCAGTGTCCCCGCCCTCCTTCTCTGGACTTGGATGATCTGAGACTGAAAGAAGTGATTCTTCAACTTCAGGAACATTTTCTTGTACATTCTCAATCTCTGTGAATAAAAATATTAAATGTAAATGAGAGTACAAGTTCTTAAACAGTATAACTATTACTCTTTTAAAAACAGAGATGTTGGTTTCTAATAGAGATTACATGAATAGATATAAATACTTTAAATGTCTATACAGCATGAAAATTGGATTGGGATGCAAGTTTTTGTATACTATAAATAGCTGTTACTGTTATTTAAAAAACGAAATGGTGATCCCTAGTAAAGATTTGCTTTCATATACTTTAATACTTTGACATTTTTAAAGGCTTGGACTATGTTTTTTTTTTATTATTATTATGACATAGTACTTCTATTAGTATGGACACAGTGATTCTTTGTAATGATTAAATTTTAGCTAAAAAGACAATGTAAGTATTATGCTAATAAGAAGCCAAGTGAGATGATTTTTCTGGCCAAACATCACCTTTAGGAAGTAAGCATTTACGCAGTGACACAAAATTACCCTTAAGGCTAAATTAATGAAAATGCAAATTTCAGAGTTTTCCTTTAGCGTATGCTCTTGCCATTTTGTTCCCTCACTGTACGTTATACTGAGATGTACATCTGCTTTAAAATGTCAGCCTAAATTCATGTATTCTGAATTTCTTGGTGTGTGCTTTTTTTAATTCAATAAATATTCTGTATTATTTCTTTCATTTTTATTCCATTCTTCCCCCTGGCTCTTCTCCCATCAACCAATGTGTATCCAGTGTTTTATTAAGGGCCTATATAAGATAAAAGAAAAACAAGTTTCTGTTTCTTTTTAAGCTACAGTCAGAGAAGAAGGATGCAATAAATGAAATTTCTTAGACTATCCTTTCAGATTAGCTCACCTTAAGCAGTGTTAAAAATATGTCCAACTTTGCACAGAGAATTTCCTGAAGAAAACTGTTTGACTTTAGAAAAGGTGCCAACTTGACAACATGTATAGTTGGATGATAAGCACTTGCAGGGTTTAGAATTATAATAGTCAATTTAATTTATGCTTACCATTATGCTTTATATTTATTAAATCATCTAACCCTCAACAATAAACCTAGGTAATAAGTAATCTTTATATCCCCATTTTACAGAGCAGTAAGCTGAAGCACAGAAAGAGCATGTGTACCTGGCCAAAGCTCAGACATAACTGAGGAAGGCGTCAGGATTCACTAAGCATCAGGATACACGGTCTGGATTCTCTACTAGTTTGCTTGGGCTGCCAGAACAAAATACCATAATCTGGGAGCCTTAAACAAAAGAAATGTATTTTTCACAGTTCTGGACACTCAAAGTCCAAGATCAAGGTGCCAGCAAAACCAGTGTCTAGTGAGGACTCTGGGTTGCAAATAGCAACCTTCTTACTGTGTTCACATTGATAAGGAGAATGAGAAATATTCCCCTCTCTCTTCCTCTTCCTTTTTTTTTTTTTTCTTATTCTTTTTTTTTTTTGGTTTTGCCTCAGGATATCTGTGCTTGCCAGAGAGAAACAAAGAGAGAGAGAATGAGAGGGAGGGAAAGTGAGAAATAACCCACCCCCGCTTCCTAGAGGGGATGGCTACACTATAATGCCTTATCCTCTGTTCTCCTCCTGGGATTCTGGGCATTCACACACACACACATGACATGATTTTCAAGCTACTGGGTCTGGGACTTGAACCATGTTGACTATGTGAGAATTTAGTGCATTAACCTCTTAGTCTCTCTCTTCCTCTTCTTAAGGTCACAGTCCTGTAAGATTAGGCTCCACCCTTACGATCTTATTTCACCTTGATTACCTCCTAAAGACACTGTCTCCAAATATATTCATATTTGGGAGAGCATAATTCCATCCATAGCATTTCACCATTGCTCCTTCCCTCAATATTCATATCTTCATTGCATGAAAAATATATTCATTCTATCTCAATAGCCCTAAGTGTCTTAACTTATTCCAGAATCAACTGTAAAGTCTAGAGTCCAAAGTCTCATCTAAATATTATCTAAATCAGATATGGATAAGACTCAAGATGCCATTCATTCTAAGGAAAATTCTCTTTTAGCTATGAACTCATAAAACCAGACAAGGTATGTGATTGCAAAATGGAATGATGGGACAGGCACCAGAGAGATTCCATTCCAAAAGGGAAGCTATAGATGGGACCAGCAGATGACATAATGGTTACGTCCTGGACCCGGCAACTTGAAACTCACACCAAGTGAACATGTGTGCATTCCCAAAATCCTGACAGAAGAGTTGAGGATAAGGAACTGGAGCATGGCCATCCCTGCTGGGGGGTGATTTCTTACTTTCTGTCTCTGTCTCTTGGGCAAGTATACACACCCTATAGCAAAAATCTCTCTTAAAAAAAAAAAAGAAAGAAAGAAAGAAAGAAAGGGGAAAAAATTTAAAAAGAAGGGAAGAGGAGATGGGTCTCAAGCAAGTCCAAAGCCTAGCAAGGCTAATTCCATTAGATTTTAAGGGTCAAGACAATTCTTTGGTTTGACACTCTGTGCTCCAGGCCCACCAGGGTGGCAGGATCATCCCCAGAGTTCTGCAGGGCAGTCTCTCCTTTTGTTCTCTCTACGAGCTCCACTCATGCATTTCTCTGTGATGGTAGGCCCACCTCTGAGGCATTGGTCAGGACCACGATGGCCCACCAGAACCAGACAGGAATCCCCACCCTTTGAACCAGAGGAGGAAATAGTTTTGTTCTCTGGGCCTGTGGTGTCAGAGGTATCCCTGATGATCTCTGAACTGTTTTCAGAATCATTCTTTCCTTTCCTTGAAGAATAGCATATGTTCATAGCCAAATAACTGTGCACTGGTTTTGCAGGTCCAAGAAGTCTGACAGACTTTCTCTTTCTACCCTGCTCATTCTGTCCCCATTAGTTCAAACTGACAGTCTCTGCTGGTGTGATCCTCTCTCTACTCCTGGTTTCTGCTGAAATGGCTAAGTAAACACAAGAGTCACACCCATGGTCTCTTTATCAAATGGTTGTTCAGCCATATTCTTAAAGTTCTCTTCAGAGCACACTTTCTTATTATTTGCAGTATGAAGGCTCTTCAAAGAGATAATGGAAATATGTATTATGAAATACTATGCATGCATCTCAAAAATTTTTTGCAACAAAATAAATAAACTTGTACTTCAATACCATTTTCTAGGCTAGTCAGTGGTCAGTGGTGTGGTGGTTAAGGTGGCTGAATCTCAGATTGCTGACCGTACAATTTGAGACCCTGACCCAGCAGCTTGAAAAACAGGCTGTGTGTGCATGAGTGCCCAGTATATCTACAGAAGGGAGAAACAGAGAAGGGGTTGTGGTCTGATCATGCCCAGGAGGGATGATTCCTTGTTTTCTCTCTCTCTCTCCAGAACAAAATACCATAGACTAAGTGGCTTAAACAACAATGAATTTTTTCTCCCAGCTTTGGAGACTGATGGTCCAAGATCAAGGAGACAGCAGGGTTGATGGCTGGAAGAGCTCTCTCTTTCACTATGTCCTCACATGATGGAGACTGCTCGCTCACTCGCTCTCTCTCTCGCTCTCTCTCTCTCTCGTTCTCTCTCTCCCTCTTCCTGTATTAATAAGGTCCAGTGTTATTATATTGGGGCCCCAACCTTATGACTTCATTTAACCTTAATACATCTTAAGACCCTATCTCCAGTTATAGTCACATTGAGAATTAAGGCTTTGGCCTGTGAATTTTGAGAGGACACAATTCAGTCCACAGCAGTTTCTAACCACAAGAACAATCACAGCTAACTTTGTTCTGGTCATTGACTCCTAACAGAAAAAATGCTCAGATTACCATAAGTAAGGTATTCAGCAAACAATATTTAAACCTCTGAATGTTTTTTTCAGGTTTTCTGAGGAAATGAAAAGCTAAACTTCTTATTTGGAATGAGTTGGTCAGAAGTGAGACTGAATGCATGAAGCAGTGTTGGAAGAGTACAATGAGCACTGAATCTCAGACAGGGGTTGGTATTTCCAATGAGACCTTTAAAAGATGCCTAGAGACCATTTCTATATTGCCACTGCCGTCATAGCGGCCTACATATCTGAGCCAATGTCCACCATTTCCCTACTTTTTTTGAAAGGAGGAGAAGCCTAAGACCAGGAAGTGAGAAAAGGTGATGAATAATTGGGGTTTGCTCTGTTTCTTTACAAGACCTTTTCCCTTTAATAAAGGGCTTCTTTGGTCAGTCAATATTCACAGTTGGGTCAGGAGAATTTGGATAAACTTGTCCTTAAGCCATTTAAAACAAATACACGAACATCTAATCGTATACAAAGTTATGGCATATAACAAAGAGAGTAAAAATAAAAGAATGTGAATGACTATTAGACATAGGAGAAACTTTTTTTAAAAGAATTTCGCCATAGGGCACGTATGCTTGTGTGTGTGTGTGTGTGTGTGTGAGAGAGAGAGAGACAGAGAGAGAGAGAGAGAGACAGAATGAGAAGAAACGTGAGAAATCACACCCCAAGAGGAATGACCATGACACACAATCCCTTATCCTCCATTCTTCTCTTGGGATTTTGGGCACGTGGGCATGATTTTGAAGCTGCTAGGCCTGGAATGTGAATTGAATTTGACCATGCGGGAGTCCAACACCTTAACCACCACATAACCTGCTGACCCTATGTGGGAACTTTGACACCTCTGTGGGAAAACTGAATTAAAGTATGAGTGGGGCATTTCGTTGGAAAAATAACTTTAAAAACATGCAAAGCTTTGGGAACCAGCAGTTAGCGTAATGGCTATGTCGCTGGACTCCCACGTAGTCGACCGCGGTTCGCGTCCTGGACCCGGTGGCTTACAACTCACGCCGGGCACGTGTGCGTGCGTGGCCAAGATCCCAAGAGGAGAATGGAGGAGAAGGGATTGCGGCATTACCATCCCCTCTGGGGGGTGATTTCTCGCTTTCTGTAGCTATGTCTCTCTCTGTCTGTCTGGTGAGCGCACGCACCCTATAGCAAAAACTTCTCAAAAAAAAAAAAAAAAAAAAAAAAAAAACATGCAAAGCTTTTTTATAATATACATTTTCCAAGAACTTTTTTAAGACCTCGAGATGTGATGTTACAATATGGATATTATATAGGACTTACTAAATATACTCTACCTAGATTGCTATTGTTCAAGAAATTGCAATTTGAAAAATTACATTAAACTTCTGTGTGTGTGTGTTTTTTCTTAGAGGTTTTTCACTATAGGATGCATGCACTCACCAGAAAGACAGAGAGACAGAGAGATAGAAAGCAAGAAATCACCCCCCAGGAGAGATGGCCACGCTGCAATCCCCCTCTCCTCCATTCTCTTCTCGGGATCTTGGGCACGCACGCACACGTTCCCGGCATGAGTTTAAGTCACCGGGTCCGGGACGTGAATCGTAGTCAACTATGTGGGAGTCCAGCGACATAGCCATTACGCTAACTGCTGGTCCCGAAAAATTGCATTAAACTTCTAATAAGGCACTTAGTAAAGTGAAACTTAAAAACATCTTTGTAAGAAATGTTGCCAGAACATTCTATATCAGGGAGATCAAACAGACATGTTAGAAAAGATCTTCTATATTCTTTCCTCAACACCTATGTCACTGTACACAACCATAAAACGGGCAAGTACTCTTTGTTTTGATGTATGGGTATAAAAAGGTCTTTTTTAAAGGCTGTCCTTTTATATCCCTTGATACACTGAGACAAGATTTCCTAAGGAGCAAAGCAAAACAATATAGCCTTTGCCATTTCCCTTAGAAATTTAAACCTAGAATAGTTATCATGGATGGTAATGGTCCAGTGAGGTCTTGAAAGAGAACTTCTGAGAAAAAGGGTGATCTGGACTTAAACCTAGGCTCATCTTTGAGGTATGCACGGAGAAATTTGGCCCCAACATGGGTATACCTTTGGCTAGATGGCCCTTCAGACAAAAATCTGGCATAATTATGATATAGAAACAATGCCTGGGCAACAATCTGTAAGTGTAAAAATATGCAGTCTTGGGACCAGCATAGTAGTTAAGGCACTGGACTTCACATGGTCAATTGAAGTTCTAGTTCCGACCCGGTGGTTTGAAACTCATGCCAGGCGCATGTGCGTGTATGCCCAAAATCCCAACAGGAGAATAGAGGATAAGGGATTGCAGCATGGCCATCCTCCTTAGGAGTGATTTCTTACTTTCTGTCCCTCTGTCTCTCTGGAAAGCACATGTGCCCTATAGTAAACATCTCTCTCAAAAAAAAAAAAAAAGATACAGTCTTGATGTTACAAGTAAGCAGAATCTTTGAGGAATCTTTGAGGTTATCTATCTATAGGGAACTGTACTTTGTAGCATTCACAGAAGCAATGACAGAGAAAAACCTGGAACTTGTTGGAATTACTGCTTGACTTTTGAAAGCTGATTGACCCCCTTGACCGAGTAAGGCACCCTAAGCTCTTGAGTAATTCTGGAGAGAAAAGAGGACTAAAGGCTTCTTGAACTTTATACTTTATGGTGATCTTAAACATATGATGTTATACAGCATTTGGTTTTGGGCGAAGAAAAAAGATCTCTCCTAGCCATTTTGGTTATACTATTGATAAATTTGGCACGGTTCACTGCTACATAGGTTTATCAATGCCATTTTACCATTCTTTGGTTTCTTAATATTTCATAGTAAAAGTATTTGACTTTTTCTATTTACTCTTAATGTCTCTATCTCTCCATCTCTATGTATGTGGGTGTATGTACATGTTGCATGTGTGCGTGTGTGCAACAGTATTAGAATCCTGTCGCTGGACAGACCATGGAATTACTGCCTGACTTTCAAAAGCTGGATTGAACTCTTTTAACTAAATAAGCCCTCAAATGTGTAAGTGTGCATATACACATACATGTATTTACATTTCTACACATCAAACTAAACTCCTGCACAAAATAAAAGCTATTTCACAAATAATATGAAAACATAACATGGTGATTCTCTAATAATTTAGTTAATTTAATTCACTATTCGGACTTCTTTTATAACTGTCTATGACTATCTGTTTTTATTTTGTGTATGTCGTTTAGAAAATTCTTTACTGTGTATTTCATGCCACTATAAAATATAGTTTATGGAAAGAGGGACTTTATAGGTCTGATTTAACTCCATACCTTCATCACCTCAAATAGCTTCTGACAGAACTGGCACTCATTACATGTTCATCGAATGACTGAATGAATAGAAGTGAAGTAAGTGTGCAATGATTATAGTAATTACGATTAATTTAGTGACAACGGTTTTTTGTTTTGTTTTGTTTTGTTTTACATATGATGTTTCTGAAAACCTAGGCTGCATAACATAAAAAGAAAAATAAGAAGACAGTTCAAATTACACTAACAAATAACGTATGAGAAAGAACTATACAATTATTTTCATTAATATTATTAGTTTTTAAAACTCACATTAAGTAATCTTGTGATAAGTCAATAATTACAAGCCTTTTATTAAATTCTTAATAAACTACTTAATCATTTACTAAAATCTGCAGAAGAAAATGCAGCAAAGTTGTAAAAACCACACTAATATATCTTCTTTCAGTTTGTGTTTACTTAATGTCAAAAATTCTTTGATGGGGCTGACAGGTGGCATGGTGGTTAAGACACTCAGCTCACACATGGCCGACTGCAGTTCAAATCTTCAACCTGGTATTTGCTTTCTTACTTTCTCATTCTCTCTCTTGTCAAATTAAAATAATAATAAATTAAATTAAATAACTCAAAAAATACCTTGACAAAAATTTCAGGGAATCATCTTGTTTCCAAAATAAGACAGATAGGGAACAAGTTTTTGTAGGACTAGCATTCATTGCTAATATCCTAGTCTAGCTTGCTGAGTTTCATGGTCTTTGATAAATTCATCTTTTGTTTGGCATCAGCGTCCTCATTTGTAAAGAGGATAAAACAAAGTCTCTATCAAAGCTCTTTCAGTTTTAAATTGTTGATTCTAAAAATCTTAGTATTTAGTAAGGTATCTGCAGACTTCATTAAACTCTCAACCACTAAGCAAAATGTGCAAAATCTTTCTTAGTAAAATCAGAAATACCTGCATTATTTTCTGAGCAATTTTGGCCTGTTAACTCCCAGACAAGTCTATCGTTTCCTGTTTTTTGAAGAACCCTCAAAAATGTAGAAAACCAGTTTTCTTTCTGCACGATTCTTCTTAGTAGCTCTCTTACACCTGATTCATTTCCAGTATTTTCTGCAGCAGCAATCTGTTTTAAGAGAATAGTAGAATTAAAGAAGATGTAACATCCTAGTAAATTTAAACTGGACCTATCCTTTATGAAAAGTAACCAAGTTAGCTTAAGCACAAATAAAGCCTTATATTTAAATAAGAAAAACAAAAACAAAGACAAAAATCCAGCAATGCTGTTTGTAGCAATTCAGGGTTCTATGGGAAAAGACTCTGAGCCAGACCCCTTTTAAGTGTGCATAATACTTTTATGCCATTGAGCTATTGAATTCTGACACTTAAGAAATAAATGTTTTACCTCAGCCATTCTGAATGAGAGGTGCAAGAGAAAGGCTTTAATCTGTAGTCATGTTATGTTTATTTCTGTTGGTTTATTTCTCTATATTTAGAGTTTGCATTTCCTTTCAATCCATGGAGTCCACAAATAGGAAATCAAATATTTCATATCTGACTCTTTTTTCTTCACTATTACCATAATGAAGTAAGCAATTACTGCCACAAGTTTATATTCTCACCCACTTAATAGCAGTATTTATTATTACTATAATAAATTTTTCTCGAATTTGTGTTTATTATTACAAGTTTGTTTCCTTTCTTCTTCCTTTCATTCTTTTTTTCTCTTCTCTCTTTCTCTTCCTTCCTCCTTTCTTTTAAATTTTCCCGTAGAGTGCATGCTCATACCAGAGAGAGAGAGAGAGAAAGCATCCCCCCAAAAGAATGGCCATTCTTCAATTCTATCATCTCCATTCTCCTCTTGTGATTTTGGGCACACATATATACACCTAGAGTGTTTTCAATTTGCCGTGTCCAGGACTCGAAATCTGCACTTGACCATGTGCGCTTCAGCTGCCTCAAGCATCGTCCTATTATCTGACCTGACAAATTTATTTCTATACCTATTCTTTTTTTGAAGTATGAAGTAGAATTATTTCTATATCCATTCATTACAATCTGTAGACTTTCATTAATTTTCTGTTTCAATTACTTCAGTAAATCACTTTCAATGTGCATCATCTGTAAAATTATCACAGTGCATCTCCCCAGGTCCTAATATAGCAACAAGCACTTGGAGAAAAGACTAACACAAAATTAAACAGGACAGCAATGGCTTTTCAAAACTTCAGGTGAAGCCACTTACTCTCTCAGGACCTCAGTTTGTACTTTTGGAAAACGAGGCCATTGGAAAGAAATTTCAGTTTTCCCATTCTAGGTGCATGTTAGAATCACTTGTGGAGTTTTATAAAATACTAATGTCTAGGATATACCTCAAAAGATTCTGTTTTATCTTGTCTAAAGAACAGAGAAAGTAAAACAAAAGACTTTTAAAAGTATCTCATGTGATTCCAATCAGTATCCTGACCCAGATAGTCCCAAGTTCCTTTTAAAATTTGCTAATGTTCTACGTATATAATTCAGATTGTTCAGTCTAGATCAGTTCTCTTCTACAAAATGTATGTATTTCCCACTCCTGGAAATATATTCCATAATCTTTTAATGTCAGGACTTTGTTAGCATTTTTAGAACAATGTCATAAATTCAGTGTTAGCTATTATTATGGATGACTTGGAAAAGTATCTACCCTTTTAAGAATTTCACTAGCACATAGAACTCAGTGCAGAAGAACATACAATACGATCTCTAGCCAATGGGTCTCTTAGTCTTACTTTTCTCTTTTTGTGTTTTCAGAGAGATTTTTGCTGTAGGGTATGTGCACTCGTCAGAGAGACAGAGAGAGACAGAGAGACAGAAGGTGAGAAATCACTTCCCAGGGAGAATGGCCACACTGCAATCCCTTCTCCTCCATTATCCTCTTGGGATTTTGGGCACACTCACACATGCACCCAGTTTGAGTTTTAAGCCACTGGGTCCAGGACTTAAACCGCAATCAACTTCATGGGTGTCCAGAAACATAAGCATTATATCTTCCTCTGGTCCCTGTGTTTGTCTTATTGGCTAATAGTAAATTCTGCATTAATATGGGCTTTTCACATTCTGTATTTTCTACCTTTTCTTTAACTTCATTAATCTAATGGAAGCTTTTTGTCTTTGCTGATATTTGTTACATCCTTATTATTATGTGCTAGGTTCAGAACTAATTGCTATGGACGTAAATAAGACTGGTTTCAAAGCTTTCTTTTAACTTAGCCATTCTCTTTTTGTCTTACTATCTTATTCTTTAACAAGCTTTAATTATTAGGTCACCAGAAAAGTTATGATGCATTTTTGCCTAGAAAAACATAGAAGAATATGTCATGACATTTCTGACAACCCAGTATAACTGACAGAAATAATCAGAAAGCATTCCTCTAAAAAGAAAAGATGATGCACTGTATGGCTACTTTTATTAAAATTTAAGTATATTCTATCCACTAAGTTGTCTTCAACTATTAATCAAATGAGTTGATTTATATTGTGGAATCACATTTATCAAGTTTTATTTGCCCTTATTGAGTACTTGGGGATCATAATGACATTATTTTTTTTTTTTGAGAGATTTTTGCTATAGGGCGCGTGCGCTCGCCAGACAGACAGAGACATTAGAGACAGAAAGCGAGAAATCACCCCCCAGGGGGGATGGTCACGCCGCAATCCCTTCTCCTCCATTCTCCTCTCGGGATCTTGGGCACGCACGCACACGCGCCCGGTGTGAGTTTTAAGCCACCGGGTCCGGGACGCGAACCGCGGTCGACTACATGGGATTCCAGCGACATAGCCATTACGCTAACTGCTGGTTCCCGATAATGACATTATTTCATGAATGCTGTTTCTCATATGATGCTGACTAAAAAAAAAAAAAAAAACATGAAAAAATAAATGATTATGATGTACATTTTCATAGGTAAACTTAGGATCAGTAGACTTTAAATAAGTTGGCCCAAACTAACACAGAGTAAGAAGCATAGACCTCAAATCCGTATCTCCATTCTAAAGACCCATAACTGCCCTGTCACATTTGCTCTGTAAGCTAAACATTTATTTATGACCCCCACATTAATATAGATTCTTCCAAAGGTAATGGTTCTTTCCCATTGTCTGCTATAGTATATTTTTAGAACTAATAATACATGTAAAATAAAGCATACAAAAATTGTTCCAGACTCTCACAGAGGCTCCTTAGAGAGCCTTAAATATATAATTCCCCAGTCTTTCCGAATCTCTTCTGAAATCTGAATCTGAGAGAGTTTGGGTTGCTTTGGTCTTAACTGCTCTCAGCACACAAAAGTCCCTTTACTCTATATCGTCTTTGTGTCAAATCCCTTGCATTACTGCTAGCTGCCTCCAAGCTTGCCAGAATCAAGATCTTGGATAAAATCTAGCTGGCAGAAATTCAATCCAGGCAAGACAAAAGTGATGCTGATAGGCAGAAGTATTTAGAGTAAATAAGAAGAAGTGCTGTTTCGCTGGCAATCGGGACATCATACCCACCAAACATAAACAGCTTTGTGGTGTTACTGGACTCTGTTGCTTCTGGACTTCCTAACAGCTACTGTGGCTGGAAATGCCATCTTCCATCTCCAGCTGGCTTGAAGGCTGCATACTTTCTTCCAAATTAAGATTCTGCCACAGTGATGTACACATTTGTCATATCCAGCTGGACTACTATAATGCGTTCTAGCTGGTTCTCAATACACAAAATGACATAAACGTTACAGACAACAGTGCAAAGTAATTTACTTGTTGGGAAAACTGGCCATCAAATTTAGATGCATGTTTGGGTCTTTGGACAGGCTCTATGGCTGTCAAGTCTACAAGGACCATTCACTTTAGTCACTAAAGATAAAGTCACATCATAGGCTACCGCCAATCTATCCAATGCCTAGACTTTGTAAGGAAGACAAGCAATCAACAAATCAAAAGGAAGAGAAATAAGGTGTCAAACCCATAGTATGGCACATACAAACCTCTCATGGGTTCATTTGCCTCCACGCTTTTCAAAAGAAGACTTTTGACTTATGGTCCTAAATAACTTGACCCAACCAGGTCAGTAATAATATACTTCACAGTATGTCTTCAATCACTGACAAACAATGAACATTAAGCATAAAATTACTTCTAAAATTCACCCTGTCTAAACACCACCTTCACAAAACTCCACTATTTATTTACTACTAGGAAAAACTACAACCAGAAACTTTTTTTTTCCAGTGACTTATCTCTGAATATTGCTTCCCAGAGAATATTAGAAACTTAATGAAAGAAAAAAGTAAATAAATAAAAAAAGGCCCTGCCTCTATGGCACAGCAGTAACACCATGCCCAGGAAGACTCAAGGCCACATGGCCGATGCTGGGTTTGAACCTCTGAGTCAGCCTGAAAACATGACCATTGTGTTTAGGTGCCGAGGACCCTGAAGAGCTGAAGGGCCGGTGAAAAAGGATCGCAGCATGATTATTAAAACTTTAAGTATATTCTATCCACTAGGTCTTCTTCAACTATTATTCTACTAAGTTGATTTATGCCTTGGAATCACATTTGTGAACAGGTGGGCAGGGTTCATGGGACAGTGAATCAGTGGCGGGTAACTGCACCTGCCCAAGGTGCTTCTTTCTCTCTTTCTTGCTCTTGCCGTCTTTCTCTCTTTGAATCATAAATAAACAAATATTTAAAAAGAAAATGTGTGTGTGTGTGTGTGTGTGTGTGTGTGTGTGTGTGTGTCCAAGTATGTGTGTGAGAGAGGGAGGTAATCTCTTCATGTGGACCAAGATGAAATGGCATAATGTATAATGGAAGGCAGAGGTTGGAAATTTTTTCTCTAAAGGGCCAGATAATAAATATTTTAGGTTTTGCAGTCCATATGGTCTCTGTCCAACTGCTGTTGGAGTGACCAATCTACCACAGACAGTGTATAAACAAATACATATGGCTATGTTCCAATAAAACTTTCTTTATACACAGTGACAATTGTGGTGTGCAACAACTAATAGGAGGTTAGATCGAGCCCATGGGTCATAGTTTACACACTTCTGTTGTATGGGGCTACGTTAAATAAGACCCCAAATTCAACACTATCAGGACCTAAAGTTTTATCTCTGCCACTGTTCTTCCTGAGAGAATTTGAGTAACCTGCCACAGTTTCCTCACATAGTTACTAACATTAGAAAGTTTGTGTATTATTTTGAACATAAACTGATAATGCATTTTGAAAATGATACTAACTGTACATAGTAAGTGTTCAATAAATGTATACATTACTAAAGTTAACTCCTCTGTAATTTACTTCAGTGAAACACTTAGAAAATTAGCTCTTCTATGTTTAAATTTCCAGTTACAGTTTTAAGTGCCTAACTAGTCTTTCCTCAAAGATGAGATACAGTCTCTTCTCAGATACGTCCAAAGATGTCAAAGAACATTTGGAATGGAGCAAATGTACCAGCAACCTTACTTTGCCAACTCTCCCTCAAAGCCCAGCTCCATCTGAATTGATACCTACCCGGTTTCTGTCTTCAGTTGTCAGCAGGTCCTTCTCCACACATGCATCCAATACATCTCTAACCAGAAGCTTGTCCACCAGAGTGGGCTGAAGGAGGTTCAGTGGGCTGAAGGAGGTTTAGCAGTTGGAGACATTCATCATGAGCGTGCTCAAATGATGGAGAGGGCAAATCAGTCAGCTCGGGGTTCACGTAGCGGGCTGCTAAAGGATTGCCAGCTCTCTGGAGGGCCTCCACCAATTCCTGAGTCCACCCGAGGGGCCAGTCCTCCTTCTCCAAGGTGCTCAGAAGCAGTTCAACTGCAGACAAGTTCCCTTCGGTGTCAGCGGTCCTGTGAATCCGCTCCTTCACATCTGCAGGCAGAAAGGTCAGGTAGTCCAGCACAGGCTCCACCTGGATATATGTTTTTATTCTGGGCCTGAAGCACGAGATGAGATAGCGGAACTGCTTGTCTAAGGAATGCCCATTCGACATCTTTCCTTGTCAGAGAAAGGGGAGGAGGACTCTCCCAAGACGACTGTAGGGTTGCTGATGTCTGCTCCACGGGTAAGATGAGGGTGCGAGGCCCTAGGCCTTGGAGTCGCAGCGTCTGCAGCGCTGTGCGTCGGGCTGGTGCAGGGTCCTCTAGCCGGCACGCGGGGGCGCGGTCGCACCTGGACAGGTGAGCAGGGTTCGCCGGACGGAAAGTGCAGGCTGGCGGACGCGATCTTCTGGTCTCCTCTGCCTTTTCGGCCCGGGAACTTGGCGAAGCTGCCACACACGTAGGTGACAGCTGTAAGTCAGCGGTCCACCCGGCAGTCCTTATAATAGTTAGCCTGACTGGTTTCTGTTTCGATTCTCTACTCGGGACTTCCCGAACAACGTAATCCGCCAGGCGGGACTGTGTGTGGTTGGGGCGGAGTCAGCCTTTGGTGGGTGCCAGGAAAGAGAGAGAGAAGAGGCCTTTGATCAAGGGCAGCAAAGGAAACAGAAGAGGAGAGCGTATTCTCTCTGGTAGGGAACTAAAGCAGCAGCATTCTAGCAGAACTCCTGGGGGTACATTGTCTTCTCAGCTAGGTCCTACCTTAACAAACCGACACTTAACCTGTGAAAATACAGAAGGCATGAAAGCCTGTGATCCGGGACTTCCCAATCTAGAAGTGAAGAGAAACTGGTGCAGATCCTGATTTGAAGAGGAATTAGCCTCGGGTGGTGCATGCAGGCAGGGTTAGCTCAACCAGACTGGAAAATTGCAAGGGGCACGTGGGAAAATGAAACTAAGAAGACATTTTCCAGAGATGTGGACCCCAGAACCCCAGAAGGAACTCACCTATGCCCTTTCTGAAATAAACCTGACCTCTTAGGAGTTCTTAAGAACTAACTTGTTTCTCTGAGAACTTGAGAGTAGGTAGGAAAAACTGAGTCAACAATTACCTCTATTGCCTCATGCTCAGATTGCTAGGATTTCTATAGCATTGTCCAGGCCTGGTGACAGAGGCAGAAGAACTTTAACCACCAATGAAGGAGGACGCCAGCACTGAAGGTTTCCTATCTTCCAGCATGTAAGTTCCCCATATCTTTAATATAGACTTTCCTTTAATAAAACAAAACAAAACAAAAATCCCACAACTTATTTTTGATTTAGCTGCCATTCTTTTCTTGGATTCAATACAGCAAGTTTTGGCTGAAGCTGCTAGGAACTTAATTAGCAACTAATGTACCAACTTGTAGTAAACATCAACATTTGTCTATGTCATGAGAGAAAAAAAAAAGACACCCACGCTGAAAAATGGCAGCTTCATTTTAGTACAGAAGCCACAGGACTGTGAGCCGGTAGGTTACTACTCTTTGCCCAGGCCTTCTGTAGCCGTGAGCGAGGTGGTGGTGGGTGGTGGTGGTGGTGGTGGTGGTGTGTGTGCATCCTAATGGCAACACCATGGTCCAGAACTATACGGAGGATAAAGGGGACATTTAGGCTAACAAAGAGACAAACTTCAGGAAAAGTACTCCATTAAAATCCTTAAATTCAATGAAGTGTGGATAGGCCTGGAAAGCCCGGTGGTGCTTTGGACTGGAAAAGAGAAATACAGAGTCTTCGTCAGAATTCTCTAAGGGGATAAAAAATGTGCAAATGAGTATGTTATAGCATGCTGTCTTATTTTATTCTCTAATTATATTACTAATGAAGGCTTTTTTTCCTTTGAAGGATGACGAACTGGAGAAGGGACAGAGTTGCACAGCAACTAGCATAATACTCTACTGCTAGAAGGCCTTTAATGATTTTTCCCCTGAATGAGAGTTTTCATTTGAATTTAGCACTGATCAAAGACAGTGGAATTTATGGAAGTGAATGAAACTTTGCCCTTGCAGATAGATTTGATTTATACCATTCCTTTTCTGATTCTTCTTATACTTCTACTATTTATTTACTTAATTTTAAGAGTTGGCCTTATATTCAGGTAGAAGAGATTCAAATTAGATGTTTTGTTTGTTTTATAGTTTTTGCTATAGGGCAAGTGAGAAATCCCCTTCAAAGAGAGAGGCCACAGTGCAATCCCTTCTCCTCCAGTGTCTCCTCTCAGGTTTTTGGGGACACATGCACATGTGACCAACATGAATTTCAAGTCACAGGGTTTTGGACTTGAACCATGTAGTCAACTATGGGGGATCCAGTACCTTAACCTCCAAACCACTTGCTGAACCAAAATTAGATGTTTTTACAGAAGTATTTAAACTATTAATTTTAGTTATTGGGTCTTTGAGGATAACTTTTAAGGCTATTGCAAAAACATATTCCCACCACTATCCTTCATCTCCACTCCCACCTGCTGGTGAGAGCCATTCGTTCAATATATTACAGTGCAAAGTAACCAACCATCCAAAAATCATTCCGTTCCCTAGCACTTATCCTTCTGTTCTTTGGCTTCAAACACAGAAATGAAAGAAATGAAAAGGGATTTATGGTTAAATATGGATAAAAAAGTTAATATTGGGTTGTCAGAAAAGTCATGACATATTTTTGTGTAGAAAAACATTCAAAACTATGCATGCTTTTTCTGACAACTCAGTATCTTTGCCTTCTCTTACTCCTTCTTTCTCCTTCTCCTTCTTCCTTGCTATAATAGGCAACCTCATTTTCTTAACACCACAAAATTGCTGTCCCAGAAGAGAAAGGGTCAAATGTTTGGTGTTTGACTCTTTCTCAAATATCACAGAATTAAACTGAATATGCTTAAATGTTTAGTTCTTCAATTATATCATGCATTCATTCACTTTAAAGATATTTATTAAGGATCCATTATATGACCAGAGCTATTTTAGGTGTAGGTAATAAAATGAACAAATTATAGGCCCCCAGGTGGGAGAGTGGTTAAGGCATTGCACCCCCATGTGGACGAAACATGATTTGGGTTCCACATGCCAGGCGTGTGTGTGTGCTTGGCCAAAATCCCGAGAGAAGAATGGAAGAGAAGAGATTCTGGCACAGCCATCCCTACTCCCTGGGGAGGAGGTGATTTCTGACTTTTCATCACTCTGTCTCTTTCTGTCTCTCCAGAGAGCTCACATGCCCTATAGCAAAAATCTCTAAAAATACAAAACAAAGATGAAATTTTCTTCTTTTATGACGTTCATATTCTAAGGGAAGCAGGAAGACAGATAATAATTAAAAAACACACAATATGTCAGGTGAGGATAAATGCTATGAAGATTATGGTAAACCTAGATAATAACATACATTAGTGTCATTGGTTGATTTCCCAAGCAGTTGCCCTTGTCTAACTCTCACTATTGGCATCAAGTGAGGTGCGAGGAATAATTCATGTTGTCTATTAAGTAAGAGTCTGTCGCATGAGGACTGAGTAATGAGAATTGAGCATAAGAGGAAGCACCTGAGGAAAAATAGACAGGAGACTCTTTCTAAGAATCTACCATAATTGAGACCAGCAGGTGGTGTGGTAGTTAAGGGTGCTGGACTCCCACATGGCTCACAAAGGCTTGAGTTCCAGACCTAGCAGCCAGGAAACAAGTCAAGCCACAATCTCTCAAAATGGTATCCTTGTTTTCATCCATATTTTTGCATCATATTTTCAATAGTTTCTTTTTCTCCTTTTAGTTTGAGTAGGTGTTTCCCTCTCCAGATTTTCTTTTAATCACTTTCATTTCCATCCTGTTTTCTCAGTTTTAGTTTCTGTTTCTTTTCTCCTTCGAGGTAGGTAATCTTGCTGAGCTGTGTCTTTTTCTTTCTTTCTTTTTCTAAACCCGCCTGTTCTTTCCAATTTAAAAACAAAACAAACCAAATATTCACTCTCTACCAGTTTAAAAGCAACCCTTCAGCAGCATTTTGTTCTCTAAATGGTAATTTAGCAAGATACTCATTGTTAACAAGGATTCCATTGTTACCCAACTTGTCATTTCAACTTTCTACATTCAAGAATTGTTAACAATCATAGCTGTCGCTATAATTTAATTGGCCACAAATTGTGGTAATCTGTTTTTGAAGAAAATGACCAGAAATTTTGTTTGATGAGAAAATCCTAAATTGTTATTGTTTTTTTATTTCCCAATTGTGTCAATAAATAACCTACTCTACAATTTAGAGTAGATGCTCTTAATCCAGCAGTGCAGAACTGTGGGAGAGTGCTCTAAACTCAGTGTGTCTGGGTTCCCATCTCAGTACTCTCTCTTAATTGCTGCATGATTAGGAAAAGCACTCAAATACACTGGTATGAAATGAGAATGATACCAGCACTGGGTCATAAGGTGGTTCTAAGGATGGACTGTAAAACACTTAGCATCAGGCCTGGCATTTTATGTGCCCCATAAGTGACTGCACACACAGGATGCTCATACAAACAACACATAAGAGGGTGACAGTCCCCAAAGAATGCACGAAGTATAAAGGAATAATAACTTATTTATGTACACAAATACTATATAGTAGCCAGTCATTTCACTGAATCTTTAGTCAGGATCTCGCTGTTTCAACAAAATGAGAGGCCAATTTATCAGGAAACTTTATTAGAAGAATACTGTCATAGTTTTTAAAAAACATGACTAGGCCCAAAATAGAAAAATGTATTCTAAGTTTACTGGATCTTGATATTTATTTCATAATTGTTTCCACCAATTTAAGTCATGTTCTAGTTTTAAGGGTTCACATATGAAAGCTTTTCCACATCAACAGTTTTGGGGGGAAAAAAAATCACGTATCACTGGCTAACTCTCCAAACATTCATTGTTTCTTCCATAGCTTAAGGTCTTTCAAAATCAATTACTTGCACACTTTTTTGTAAAAACACTATCTTTACCTTAAAGGAATAGATTGTGCTTCTTTTACTTTGTTTTAAAATAAATGTTTAAGAGCAAACTGTAGTGAATTACATTTTGGCTGTCATTATCTTTACCTGGCAATCATGATTGAAATTTATCTGGTAGACATTTTAAGGTTAAATGTCCCAGCCTAGATCTAGTCTGATTAAGGGGTGGCTGTCCTAACTGCTTAGTACTCGCTCCATACAAATTATTAATATTTTTATTTTCCCTTTGCCCATGTTATAGCTGACAAAGTCTTGACATAGAAAAGTTATGGAATGAGGGACCAGCGGTCAGCAAAATGGCTATGTCGCTGGACTCTTATGTAGTTGACCATGGTTCGAGTCCTGGACCGGATGGCTTAAACTCGCGTGTGTTGCCAAGATCCCGAGAGGAAAATGGAGGAGAAGGGATTGTGGTGTGACCATCCCCCTGGGGGGGGGGGGCGTTGATTTCTCGCTTTCTGTCTCTCTGTCTCTCTCTGTCTCTCTGGCAAGTGCACGCACCCTATAGCAAAAACCTCTCCAAAAAAAAAAAAAGAAAGAAAGAAAAGTTATGGAATGAGTTACTGAAATAAAAAGTATTGGGGACCAGCAGGTGGAGTGATGGTTAAGGCGCTGGACACTCTCACATGGCTGACCACAGTTCAAGTCCCAGACCTGGTGGCTTGCATTCTCACTTTCTTTCTTGCCATGTCTCTTTCTGGTCAAATTAAAAGAAATGAATTAATAAATAAAATAATTCTTTAAAAAAGTAAATAAAAATTATTGAATTAAAATGAATTATGTTTGAATTATTTAGTCATAAAGACAGATTAAAAATTTTAAATGAAGTATTGGCAACTATACTTTTTATTATGAATGCACTAGATTATATAAATTATATTTTAAATTTTTTTCATTAATCTGATTAGTTTTTACTTTTTTGTTTATATTTTATGGCATAGTCTTATAGTAGTATATGTAAAGACTTCCTAAATAAATAACATATATATTTAATGAGTCTATGTTCACATACTTTTAATAAGAAGAATAAAAATAAAATCTTATTTTTTTCTCTTTTTTCCAATGAGCTAAAGAGAGTCAGAGAGAGAGAGAGAGAGCGAGAGAGAGAGAGAGAGAAAGAGAAGAAGGTCTTTTTTTGGTCAAGATCTCACCATGCCGTGATCTTTCTGGCCCAGCCTCCTAGTTGGTCAGGACTATAGGCACACATCATCACGTGTGACATGTTTAGGCTGGCCAGAAAATTT